ACTGAGAGGTCATCGCCTTACACAGCAGCCATCGTCTTACTGAGAGGTCATTGCCTTAATGAGAGGCCATTACCTTAATGAGAGGTCATCGCCCTACTGAGAGGTCATCGCCCTACTGAGAGGTCATCGCTAGACTGAGAGGTCATCGCCCTACTGAGAGGTCATCGCTCGACTGAGAGGTCATCGCCCTACTGAGAGGTCATCGCTCTACTGGCAAGTCATTAACTCACTGAGCAGTTATGGCTTGCCCGACAAGTCGTCACCAAACTGTGACGTCAGCTGTCTATTCAACTACAATTTTTTGCATGTACTTCATACGCGACAGAATATTTCTAAATTCAAAAATTCCGTAAAAGGTACATTTAGAACAATGCACGAGGGGCGACGCAAAAAAAAACGGATTGTCTGGATGTGGGCGAAATTTTAGAACATGAATGTCAGTTAGTGTGTTACACATCGCTGCCCTAGAAGGCCATGTTTCAATATCGCATTTGTTTTGTAACAATTCTTATGTGCACTCGTCGTTTTTTTGATGATGGCTGACTTCCGTTAGCAAAATTCTGCCGTTAAATTTTAATTTCTTCTGTACAAACTGGGAAGAAGATGCCACAGACAGCCTACAAAGACGATGGTGTGAGGAGGACGTAAGTTTTTGAGTGATTTTCTCGCATAACAAAATGAAATGTCAATGACACCCAAACACGCTCAGGTCATCCTTCAACTTACCGCACCGAAGAAAATATTGAGAAAATCAGGGACCTAATTCATAAAGATCGTTGTTGAAGTATTGACGAACTTGCAAAACTGCCGCAAGTAACTTGGAGTTCACTCTAGTGAATTCTGATTGAATATGTTATGGATGAATTGATGAATTTAGAAAAATCAGTCCTGTTTCTTTTTGGTACCTCTCCTTGGTATTTTTTTCTTTTTAGTACCTCTTTGGTAAAATTACTACTGTAGTTTTAGCGAGTAATGATTTTCTGGAACAGTTGTAGTTTTTAATTTTTAATATTATTTAACGATTAGTTCTTAATTGAATGAAGTCTTTTCATCTGGGTGTGCACCGGGTGGACCAAAAAACATCGATTATGGGAATTCGCTATCGGACTATGATTTTCTCTGTGGACATCTGCCAAGTTAATCTTCTTTAAAGGAACTTCTGAACAAACAATTTCTTCAGTTACCGCAAGGCCATTAAAAACTACAGAAAGGTGAATCTTAGCATATTTCTGACTGTAATGCTAAATTTTTTAAAGCTAACCTAGTTTATTTAGGTGATAATTGTAAGAATTACTTATTAATCAATTATAAATCAGTATACGAAATATGGCACGAATCCATTGATGCTTAGATGTTCTTCTAGAATCATTCACAAGACTATAAAAAATCATAGTCGGAAAACGAATTTCCGAAAAAGTTGTTTATCGTCCACCTAATTGTGCACTGCCTAGACAGCTCCTGTTTTAGCTATTGTGATTGGATACTGAATTTATTCCGAAATTATCAATTTGTTACGTAAATATTAATTATGTTTTATAAATTGAATAACCAGTAATTCAAGGTTTACTCATGAATTCGCCATCCATCATAAATTCTAATGCTGTGCTTGTTACCCATTACCGAATAATGTAAAATATTACTATTAAATATCAAGCATTATAAACGATAGCATTGGAATTGAATGGAGTGAAAGAAATGCACAAACGTACAACAATCACACACTTTATTTGATCAGATGTACAATATTTACAATATTAGACGGAAAGAAACATCGTTTAATAGATCAACGTGCAGCTAAAACACTTATGACCTATTGCATATGAATGAATTAACAAGTCAACAAACAACTGAGCTCAACATTAATGTGGCATAAATACGATAATATGTCATACAACTGTAAATAATTTTTTTTTAATTTTCAGAACATTTAAGGTATGCATAGAAATACGTAACTCAGTTAAATTCTGGTATATTACTTTTAAACACTTAAAAGGTTTATCTGGGGGACCTAAGAAAAACGCTACAAGTTGTTATATTTACATATACATTTAGTCCAAGAGAGAAATTTTACGTATTGTTCAACTTAATTACCAGCTATTTTGAACAACCACAACAACAACTAAAGTGAAACAACTGGAATGTAATAGGAATTCTGATTCCATTCGTGAAGAAAGTAATGAAATCTATCGGATTTTTGAGCCTTACATAAATGACTTAAAACACGAATTTGCAGCGAGCGTGTTATAGGGATCAAAGATTCATTGGATTGTCATGGTTTGCTGTTCCCTGACATTGAAATTTAGAAGAAAATTAGCCATTGCACAGACACAGGAAGCATGGCCCTCTACGTTAGTCGCACTTGTGGCATCAACACAAAAATTGGATAAACATCTGCGAAACTATGGTCAAGCCGCAGGTTCTCCAAGTGTGTGGCGATTGGGCCTTTTTTTAGGAAACTTACAACAACGCGCAATAGGCGACGAATAAAATTCGGGGAGACAATGGTAGGAAAATTTCGGATCAGAACCTTATGAGCAGTTCAAATAACCATAAACTCCTGTGCTGTAAAACCATCACTAAGCTGAAAGTGAAGTCGATTCTAATCGAAAGGTCGTTTTCTATTTAAACGTCATTTTGTAACCTGATTTTGACCTGCCAAATCCAGCAATAATCTTGTTAGACTCATTGAAAAATAAACAAGAAAATTGTTAACAAAAGGCATTCTTTGGTATTCAATCAAACTTGCATGAAGAAAGAGTTTCTACCTAACCATACAACGACGTATAGTGAAAGGGCGTTTTAGAACAATGTATGTAATTTGGCGGATTAGCACGGAGTAATTAATCTTGCAGAGTGTCTTCTTGGGTCAATAAGTAGGAACAGCAAGAGCCCTGCATCCATGTCGCTCTATAACATCACAATAAATCCCACGAAATGGGACATTTTAGGGGTTAAATAGGACTAATAGTTTTTGCGCATTAGGGCACAGATGTGATGAAGCTACTATTTCAAACCCGCTTCATGAGAGCACCTCAGCAGATATACAATTCTGTACATACATAACAGGAGTAACTCCAACACTCCTCTAAACGAGGTGTACTTATAACTTCTTATTAACTCCCTCAGGCGGGATACGCGCCTGTTAACGCTGACATTATTTTAATTTCTAAATTTTATTTTAATAAAATTATACTTAATTTCAATGTTATTTAAATAATTATTATATTTTATTTCAATACGGATTTATTAAATTTTTCTTGTTGAATAATTAAAGAAAATTTCTCAGAGAAAACAGTAGAATTTGCATCATCTACGTTTTGGAATATGATAGCGTTAACTTTTCTCTGGATAACGGATGACCATTTCTACTAATATTGCAGTACATAATCCAATAAAATCGGGTGATGAATGTTCAGTTAGAGGTCAACTAGCTGCTTGCGCTGCGTGAAGAATGACGATTAGCAATAAAAGAAATGGGACGGATTTTTACCGGCGATTGGATCAACTATCGATTTAATTTTATGGATTTTTTTGCAGGTTTTAGAATACAATCAAGGCTTGGAGAGCTATTTTTATGGTAATTAAAAGGTTTTATTGTTAATTTAACGGCTCGTTGGACTACAAAATGTATGCAATACCCGCTTACTGATTATATCGTTCCTTTGCTGCAATGCTGTTCACTTGAAGTAGTTTCTGATAAGTTATGAAATAAATGATAATTAATGCACCCATAGAATATCTCGGGCAGGCCTTAACAGAGGCGTGTGTCAGCGGTCATTCATTTTGATTGAGAAGGAATGTCGATATTGTAAAATATTTTTATACGTAAACTTATAATATATCGGTTTCATGGTTTCATAAAATATTCCAGAACTCCTGAGAACTGAAATTTATTAAATACTATTAAAGACGAAGGTCCCTTTCGTGAGTCAATGGCTAAAATTAGTGAAAAAACACTGTCATTTGAAACTGAAAAAATCATAGAAGCATGAAACTTTTTCTCAAAACCACCTTAAAAATAAATTTAGAATGGCGTCTTTCTCTTTTTGTCTTTCATTTTGGTGGATTAAAAATTTTCAGACCAATTTTGATGGAGATGCAAAGTAAAAAACTTGTCATTTATAACACAGTCACAATCGGGCAAAACAAAAGACGAATTCCGTCTCTGATCCCTGTACACATATTTGGTGCGAAATTATGACAGAACAAATCGAATAAAATTGAAAAATGAAGATTTGCTGATTATGTACATTAGTTTGATATTTACTTTGGCTATTATCGGATTATTATCTGATAATATTTCAATGAAGCTGGCTATGGTGTTCTAGGAATTGAGGAATTCTTTTCCTACATTGAAGATACGATATACATATGTTCCCATAGGCCTGCTTAAACGATATATGTTCCCAAAGGCCTGCTGCATAAGTTAAGACCGATATCGGTACATGGAGGTACGTAAAATGAACAGTGTTTTACTGAACGGCGATCGGTCGCACGGAGACATTATAAGGACGTAAGGGTTGATTAAACATTAAATAATACTTGCATGTAACTATTTACAAGTATTTACGCACTGTTATTACAAATTTCTTCAATACAAACTACAATTGAAAGCACTGGTTTTTGAAATATCATTGAACTAATCCATGAAAATTAAACATTGGATCAAGGGAGTATTCACGAACTGCTCCAAAAATTGAGCTAAAGATTTCGAATTACGAAATATCATGGATCAAAATAAGGGGTGATGCGAGGGTTCAAAACACCAGCAGCGAATAAACCTAGTGGCGTAAACCAGCGACAGCAAATAATTTTTTTAAGTGTTCAAATTCAAACAGCTCATAAGAAGCCATGATTGATTTGATTACTTTATTTACAAAGTGATATTTACACAGCCGCGTGAAACGAAGTATCTGTTCCGACGTCAAATATTTGTGGTCTAGATTTTTGCATTTCCGGCATCATTATGAAAAATTTTTATTTTTTCTTATCTACAAGTTTTTAGTAATTTTTTACCGAATATACTGAATTAGAGTGAATTTTTTTCTTCTAGTTTGAGATGTAAGCTTCTGCGCTGGTCTGTTACGATGGATATCTCGGAAAAAATCTTGGCTGTCAGCGTAGGAGAACGCGGGATTGACTGTTTTTTTATTAATTTTACCGCCACAGCTAGCAAGATGGATTAAATTCACATTTCTCTTTGGATAGTCCACCATCTGAACTGAGTTCCTTGTGAAGCTTTGGATTGGGAATTACTGAAATTGGCTGTGTTCCAAATGGTTGAATTCTGTCAAATGCATAACTAACTTGTTAAGAACAAGATGATGAGGTTATAAGTTGAAATATGTTTGAACAATATCGTCCCATTCATCTAGAAGTATAATTTCTTTCTACACACTAAAGTCTACCATTTATTTCGGTATTAACGCACATTAGATGACTCATGCGATTGAACAAAGCACAAATTATTTCTAATTGATTCACCTTGTAATCAACAACAATGAATGAGCGCATAGATATGTCTTGCACATGGCAGAATGAATAGAATTTGTAGACATTATATACTCTATCCCTTCATCAGCTCCACAAATCTCTACGTAAGCTTTGACGCGCAGTAAGGACGAGGTTATGATAATAACGTTCTATTAATGATCAATATGACCATGACCAACGCCGCTAAGCTCCGTGAAGCCATGGACCTGTGACCTGCAACACACGAGTTCAAATATCAACGATCAACTCAGCATTGTCCTGAAAATCAAATATTATTGCATTGAAATAGTAGTTTTCACGTTCACTCGTAAGTCATTATTTCTCGGCTGATCCTCACAGGAGATTGGTTCAAGTTTTAATAGGTTCCTTTTTCGCTATCCGAATTTTTGTTATAGTCTAATACCGCTTCTTTATTTATTTATAAAAGATACGTCGATTATTGATTATATATACACATCAACAGGTGCTCACGTTGCGTAGGGTACTATTGCATCACTTATTATTTTTGAAGATCACTAAGTCATCAATTTCCAATTCAATTAAAAGCAAATCCAGTCCATTTCAATTCCAACCTTGCTTCCTGTGTGGGCCAAATGTCCAGTGGCACTTGCCTCACATTTTTTTATCTACTTTGTGCTGTACTCCTGGGCACTGACCTGTCCCGATGGATATCTCGAAAAGATCCAGGCCATCAGCATAGGGCGGACGAGAAGAATCTTTAAGAGTACCTGTGGGACATATCGAGGCGTCACAAGCACAACATAATAGGACCAAAACGTGGGTTGTGAATTTGTTAGAAATTAATGATGCCATTTAATCATTGAGACGACTATTGCTGAATTGAATGCATGTGGGATATGAGGGTAAGCGTCCTCTTCAGGAAATAACAAGTGTATCTCAGATATTTAGCTGTTTAAACGCATATATAAGATGAGCTAATGGTTCTATTTTTCTGAAAGAAATAGTGGTTTATCGGACGGATATTGAATGTTTACTTAAAGACCTTTACAATGAAAACTGTCTTCCCAACCAGGCCTAGTTTTGTGTTCATATCAACCCTACCTAAATATCATCATGAATTGCTCGAATAAAAACGTGAATAATAAATAGAAATAAAATAAAAAATTAGACTTCAAATGAAATGATAGGAAACTTGTTGTGTGAAGCAGTCGTGAACATCTTAATCTACGGAGTTTTCCCTCAACATTTAAGTATCACCAGTAGTGAGGGAATCATCTCTACTTCTCATGGTTTCTATGTTTGTGAACATAGTATGACTATAATTTTCTAAGATTTCTATAATAATTTTCTATTATATTTAGATTGGATGCAATAATTACTCCAATACTACTTATACTTGAAGCCGAAATCCTGAAAATTGTTCATGCACGGTTGAACCATTCACTTAATATATACACAACAATTCATCTGTAAGTTTACGGCATCAAATTATGCTTTGATGAGTGACATTTCGCAGAAAATGTTACAGATGAAGTGCTGATGAAGGAAACTTGAAAAAATGGATGCTATAGTGCAACTTTTCGTGGTGCATCTGTGCCGACTTTTGAAGAAAGAGTTTACCTGTTCGATCACGATTAGTAGCTGAGCTTAGTACATGTGCCGAACCTCCAGTAATTTGGAGAGACTACATTATTTATTGTTCTGAATATACCAGATTTTCCTCAAAGCGATATTGCCATAATATGAATTTTCATGGTTTATTTCTAATACCACACTTTGTGCACAGAATTATAGAAACCGGTTGACAAGCATCACAACACCCCGGGTTCTTCTACCGTTCTGTACTAGTCTAAAGGATCGCCAAAGGCATGCCTTACATTGATCAACTATGATATATGATCAAACGTCAGGGTCATTATCGCATCTGGAAAGATAATTAGTCGTCTCTCTACGAGGAAGTTGCAATGCAATGAATTGTGAAGAAGGGAGAATCTTGCATCTGACTGCGTTTTATGAATAATAATAAAATATTCAGGCACCTAGTCAGTAGCTGTTGGGGATCAAAATAAATTATGGTTGTGCATGAAAAAGAACCAAGGCTTCGTTACCGGAATTTCCGTTTTAATTATATTTCGCTTAGATGGGCTGTCTAATTTCGCATTACCATTCATTTTAATGCGTATGAATTTACCATTTCGAAGTAACTCTAGAAAAAATCTAGAAAATTAAAAAAAGAACACATGAATATAATGGTAAAACATCAATATCCATTACATCAGTTCAACAACGAGACTAGACGCTCACCATCAACGGCTTTACCAGGCGACTGGAGCTGTGTTCTCTTGCGGCCTCGAGCACCCGGGCTTCTGTCCAGCACTTGGTCTGCTCCAGGCGCAATAGAAGTAGAATTTAAATTATGAAATAAGAAGTTAAAAGACAATCGTTAAGATTTTATTCGGAACGAATTTACTTAAACCTGCATAGCCAGCATTCGACTCTGTGCTGGTTGAATGATCTAGACAATCAAAATGTTTGCATTTTACGTTCAGGAATTTGTCAGCATTTCAGCCACAGGTTGAATGTAATTCATTATTGCAAATATTTGCCGTTTCTGTTTCATGATTTGAACAATGTGAGATAATTAAAAATTATAACTGGTTAGCAAACTGTTCGTACTGTGTTTGAGTAAATTAATGACTGGCAAACTCATTTAAAACTGCATATATTTGCTGTTTCTGTTTCATGATTTGAACAATGCGAGATAATTAAAAATTATAACTGGCTAGCGAACTGTTCGTACTGTGTTTGAGTTTTTTAATGGCTGGCAAACTCATTTAAAAAAACAGTGCAGTTGGATTTCGCCATCATAGCAAGCCTTTTCATCACTCACTGTTGATGTCGTCGAGGACCTCCGTAGGGATTGTGGTGGCGATGGTGGTGGTGGCAGGAGGCCCTGCGTCTGTGTCGATAAGGGACACGTTTTCTCATTAATTATTAAGTTATTCGTAAACACAGCAAATATTATCGGAACGTTTCACAAGCTAAAATTAGTCCTTGTATGACATAGTCATGTGAAAAAATAATGAATATTGTCACACACACAATGCTATGATAATTTTTTATTTAAAATTAAGTTTTCGAAAACATTTACACAAAATGCAAGGTTCATGTTGTTCTAAATTTGCTCATGATAAGCTGATAATTGGAGGAGAAATTTCCAACCGTTCATTGATTTTATAATTTAGAAACTGAATTTAGTAATATAATTAGGTGATATCAAGATCATTTTTGGGTAAGTTCACTTGAAAACTTTGTAGGCAAAGATTTGGGAACTGGTCCGGAAGAGAAGAAGAAAGATCGCACGGAATTACGGTGTAGAGCTGCTCCAGAGACGAAATCTTTTCAGGGCCTATTGACGCCGTCGTACTGTTCATCAACGCCGTTCACAATCAATCAATAGGTCTAATTTTTAAATATACTTCTTGAAGTTTGCTGTATCTCAACCTTATTTTGGTGTGTTAGAGTTTCTTTCATTTTGTTAAATTGGTTACTGCTATGCTTTATTTTGCTCTAGGATGTTTTAGCTATAAAGAAATTCTATCTAATAAGCTCAATCGTACATACCATTTAAACTTCAACTTGATCAAACCTAAAGCTGACGATACTGCTAAAAGCTGTATATATCGTTACTAGCTTTAGCCGTCACTTCAATACCTTACATTATTTCCAAGCAATTCTTCAACAATACTTTTCTATTTCATCTGAAGCATCCATCGCAATCTGATTTCATCTTATTTCAATGTATTTCAGCCTCTGAAAGTGCGTACTCATACTGAGTGCCACCAATAAACTGAGTGCCACCAAGTGCTTAGTGATTTTTATTCTAATTGTTCACGTTTGCCATTTGGAATTATTGAACTGTGCTCTTTGTTGCCATTTCGGCATTTATTTATCCCATCATCTTTATGTTGCAGTATCACTCCAACTTCGACCTCGCTGTTGAAGTTTCATCGACTACTTTTATTTGGAGCTGATGATGGTTATAGTTGACGCGTGCACCACAGTTCCCGCTCACTTTGTTGAGCTCATTGCGGACTCCCTCAGTTACGTAGACAACACCATGACACCCAGGAGTCTTAAATGCACCTATGGCTTTATAGTAATCTTGATTTAAGAATATTTAAAATTTATTTAGGACTCCTTTATTATAATATTAAATGAACCTAAGTATCTGCGCAAACTCTCCGAAATGTAATAAATCTTCAATGTTTGATTTGAATATTCAAATCTTATCAGCTACGATTATATGGAATTATCCATAATTGTTAGATAATTGTTTGCGCATGATAAGCTCTAATACTTTTTTAAGTGACATACTTAATTAGCTTAAAATTTCTGCTCTCATAATAAACTGCGATATCAGGACTCATTTGAGGCGCACAATGAATATTGTTCTCAACAACAGAGATTAACTCGAACTGTGGTCGAAAATGGCCGCAATTTCTTTCCTTAATCAACAAGAAGTGTTTGTCACTGCAAATTCGTAATAAATATTTTCAAATAATCAATTTAATAATTAGCCAAAAAATTTAATATATGCAATAAACGAACGGTATTATTACTTAATTTTATGCCTTTCGTAACTCTGTACGTTTAAAATTGACGTTTTCAATCCTATAAGAGGTATACAAGGCAGTAGAAAAAGACTTCCCGTGTCCCTGCATAGCAGACATCTAATCGTTTACATGACTTTACTAGAAAAGTTTTGACCTCATGATTACCGTGAATGACGTAGACCACACAAAAGTCTAACCGTAGACCTCAAACAATTGCGTAGACTACATCCAAGTCTCACCGTAGACCACATCCAAGTCTCACAGTAGACCACACCCAAGTCTCACCGTAGACCACACCCAAGTCTCACCGTAGACCACACCCAAGTCTCACCGTAGACCACACCCAAGTCTCACCGTAGACCTTGATAGCCCCGTCGGTCTCGCCCCGCGGGTTCTTGGCCACGCAGCGGTATGTGCCGAAGTCCTCGTCCTCCATGTACCTGATGGTGAGCAGCATGTGGATCTTGTAGCCCGGGTTGCCAACTTTGTGCTCGATGTGGAATTTTTCTGACAGGAAATGAATAAATTTTTTCACAAATTTGGTTAGTGTATGCTTAGGTTAGTTTCAGTGCGTCAGGAATGACTTAATATCGCTAACTGGTTTGTGAACAATAAATATTAATTATTTTTTGTCTATGATATTATTTTCTATATAAAGACCGAAAATGTAAAAGCAAAAAAAAAAAGCCAAGCAAGCTCTCCGAATATTCATTAAATGAGTATTGGAGACCAGCTACATCTTCGGTTAAAATATTTGTATGGAATACATTTACAATCAACAGTGAAAATCGGAATATACATTCACGAAAGCGCCTAAAACATAAGTAACAAGAAAACGACACGGGAAAATAAAAACCTATCATTTTGAAATTTTCAAATGGATAAGAACTGTACTCGTTATTAAGACAAGGTTGTTGTGTGAATATGTGTGATCTGGCAATGTGCAGGCACACGAAACAAATGCAATCTGCGTGCGGTACCGCAAGTTGGGGACAGGCTCTCAGCCGCCCGACAGCGCCCGACGCAGCGCGACACTTTGGAGGTCTTGGACAGCTATGCAAATACGCGTATTATGAGAGGCGCGCCTGCCACCAACTTCTGATATACGAAGCCTGATCTCTTTTGTTCTGAGGAGCTCAGCTTTGTAGGCAGTGAAGGTAATTTTCAGCGACGAGTGAACGAGGTACCTTGTTTCATAAGTAAAATAAATCTTGGACTGTATTGAAAAACCAATTCGTGTTAGCAACTGCGTTGTTATCAGTAAATGTAATGCAACTATGCAAGGTATGGAGTAAAGGAAATAAGTACTAAAATAAGCAAGGTGCAAGAGGCGAAACACGTTTTTAAATTGAGTGATGTTGCGTTACGTATTTGGAAAATCTGAAAACATTTTAAAACTGGAAATAACATTCATTTTCGCAGCACATAAGATTTTTGCAAACAGCCATGAATCTTTGTTTTCATATGAACGACACTTCTGCTTCTGAAGCTTCAAATTCAAGCTAGTTCAAATCTAGTAGATCAAACATGGTGCCAAAGCGGTTGAAATGGGAAACGAAAAATATCAAACAGAAACTGTCGAGTACACGTATTGGTATTTGTAAATTTAACAATTATGTTTACGCGCGTTTTGAAAATGTAGCAGTACATTTACAAATGTATTGTACATATCCTAAACTGCTATCCTGTTGTGAAATTGCCTTCATATTAAATTTCACTGGAATTAGGGTATTGAAAGGCATTTGAGTAACACAGACTGGAGAGAGTCATAATCTGGTTTTACGATGACGGAATTCGGGATGACTGGGATTCGGGATGACGGGATGTGGGATGACGGAATTCGGGATGACTGGGATTCGGGATGACGGGATGTGGGATGACGGGATGTGGGATGACGGGATGTGGGATGACGGGATGTGGGATGACGGGATGTGGGATGACGGTATGTGGGATGACGGTATGTGGGATGACGGGATGTGGGATGACGGTATGTGGGATGACGGGATGTGGGATGACGGGATGTGGGATGCCGGGATGTGGAATGACGGTATGTGGGATGACGGGATGTGGGATGGCGGGATGTGGGATGACGGGATGTGGGATGACGGGATTCGGGATGACGGGATTCGGGATAACTGGGATTTGGGATGACTGGGATTTGGGATGACTGGGATTCGGGATGACGGGATGTAGGATGACGGGATTCGGGATGACGGGATTCAGAATGACAGGATGTGGGATAACGGGAATTCGGGATGACGGGATGTAGGATGACGGGATTTGGGATGACGGGATTCGGGTTGACTGGGATTCGGGATGAATGGGATTCGGGATAACTGGGATTCGGGATGGCTGCTGCAAAATTTTGGCAAAATCACGGACAATTGAAGTTTTTCCACTCTTCTTTAATAAACGTACTCTATTTTCTAAATTATGGGCGTTTTTTATTATGGGATTCATAAATTGTAGTGTAAATCTCGAGCAGCGCCGTGCTTAATCTGTTAGTAATGCAAAATTGAAGCATTTTTACTAAATAGGAATTACAACTGATCGATAATTTTAACCAAAATCGTCCTCGACTACCGATAGATAGAGAAATGAAAGGATGAAGAAGGCTGGAGAACAGGAGACCAGAGAATGAGAGAGTTGGAGCTCAGCGCCAGGGCCTGAGTGTATCGAAACCAACTCATTAGAGGCCGCAAATCTATCTTCACTCGGGCTCTTCTTTCTCAGCTGATTACTTTTGTGGAGCTTCGGTTTAGCCGCCCTCGGCAGGGGGGGGGGGGCACGTCGGGATCTCTAGGGACATCGCTATTGAGCACTGCGGTACCTAAAATTTATTGAGCACTGCGGTACCTAAAATTTGCCTGATTTAGGAAAATCGTCAGTGGCTATTCCATTATTGCTTCGAAATATCAGTAAAATGATCGCGTTTAATACCACTCGCATGTACGAGCACATCGAGCGCCGTCATATAATTAAAATGCAAGATCAGATGTTACTCGATACTTGATGTCGGTCACTCCTCGATAGTGCATAAGAAGACTTGAGAACTGATTAAGTGATCAATAAATAAATTAGATCAATAAATAATGACTTTTTAATTGGAAAAGCTTCACAGACCAGTTTCGTCAGTTGAAAATATGCGAAAATCAATCCACAGGTCTAATATAAAAGGAGAAATTAACACCGAATTTGAAAATTGGAAAGCAACAAAGCGGCAAAAACTTAACAATTTAAAGCACACATGAACAATTGACGTTGTTTCAACAAGAATTTCGTTTACAAATAGCAGAGATTTTATTATTATCAAGTCGACAGTTCTGAGAGAAGCTCTTCTCAGAAATTAAGAAGAAAATTTCATTACATAAGTTTATATAATATAAGTCGATTCGATGTTTTTAGTTTTCAATTGTTTACTCCTCATGTTTTATAGATCTATTCATCTGAAAGATAGGTCAATAAAAATCACGATGAAACAATAAGACAACCATAGTTAGTCACATAATGACTTCTGAAATACTTTTAGTTGGTTATTCTCAACGTAATCTACAAATCCATAATAATACAGATCACTATTTTTCAATTAAATTTTTATTGAAGTAATCAACACTTAATTTGGACACATGATGACTCAAAATTGTGGTCTGAAGCGGAAGACTTCGATCTGAGGAGAACGGGAGCTTCGAGTCAACAACCAGAATACACGAAATGTCTTTTTAGTTGTATAAGCTACGGTCCGCAGTCTTACTTCTTTGTTGGGTATCCGGCATTTTTTCTCTTAACGACGAATTTCTTACAGCTACACTGAAGATTATTTAATCAGTCGCTATCAAAATTCTGTTACCTGAAAATCGACTGTCCGTGGTTACGGTGCTTTTTTCAATTTTAGCTCATATAGTTCGAATTTAAGATGACTCAAACACTAATAAACTGCATAGCTGGAATTTATGTTAATTCTTACGCTGCAAATTATTAATATAAATTGTTATCTGTTAATTTTGTCATAAAGTCCCCTTGTACCAAAATTTGGAAATTCATGTCAAAGGACATTTGAAAATTGTTCTTAAGGCAGGTAGCGGACGGTTAGTTATATATACTGTCCATTATCTTGTTTTTGTCATAATTCTAAAATTATCTATTAAGACTTCAGAAACTTGCTGTTCTGAAATTTTCACCAATTGTTAACTTACATGCACTATTAGTGAATAATTTGAAATTTCAATCTTCCTTCGAGCATATAAGATTACTTTTCTCTTACACTGCGATCGTTCTTTTGCGCATTGCACAGCGGCGAAGGTCGACATGACGTAGCGTAATTTGTAGGTATGATGGCACAAAGGAATTACACAGAGAAACGAATTATAGTGTTCAAAGAATTTTCTCGTACCCATCCACCTTATTAGGTTGCAGGTGCATTCAGGCACAACTGTAAGACTTCCACGCTTTGAATAGAATTTTACAAATTTGAAACTGGATGATAGAGCTGCATGGATTCATAAACGTTTAAAATTGATGATAAATATTATCGGCATTTTCCTGCTTCTATATACTTGACTTACTTCTTAATAATTTAATTTGAAAGTAATTAGGGGTTCAATTTATCTAGATACTGTCACATCATCGTTACTCTTAGATTCCATATAATGAGAAAGTCAAACGCAATATTTGTCCATTGGACATCAATATTTATCCAGACCAATATTCATCCAGTCAAATATTTATCCAGTCAGATATTTATCCAGTACAATATTTATTCAGCACAATTTTTATCCGGTCCAATATGTATCCAAGCGCAATATTTATTTATCCAAGTACAGTATATATCCAAGTTCTTATATCATTAGTCTGCTCATATCGCAAGTTCACAAGGAATTTAAAAGCAAAGAAAACGCCAAGAAAATTCACCATATCGATATTGAAAACGTTTCGGAGTCCAGCTCCATCATCAGTTCGACTAAACTAAAAATGAATAAAATCACTTTAAAAGTCAAAATTCAAAAACGCGCTCGCTACGCCGGCAATACAATAGAGCAGCGCAACGCGCTCGCTACGCCGGCAATACAATAGAGCGATCGACGCCAGAATTTACGCAAAGCTTAGGCCTCGGAGATCCAGTGAGACGATTTGAGGTCCAAAGTTTTATAGTCTCGAGGAGTTCAGCGGAGGGCTTTACAATTGCTGAAAGCTCTGTATTTTAGCGCGGCTGCGCTGGTTGCACATTAGGATGAGATATGTTCATAGAGTAAAATATAATGTAGAGTACTTTATTTTGGTTGATAGTAGTAGTGAAATAATCATACGACCTTTTATATGTCAATATCTTCAGTTTCGTTGCAGTGTCGTCAATAAGTCAGAAAAATGAATGACCTGCTTAGCTCACAAGCAGATGCGACTGCAGCAGCACACAACTTCCAAAGAACATATAATGAGTAAAATTCAAATTAAATAAATCAAAGTTTAGAGAATGAAAAACAACATAACTGGGAAATAAACATAAATTAAACATAACATAAAATATTATTATTCATTTTCATAAAATGCTATGAATATGAATAATAATAATAATGAATAATAATAATGAATAACAATAAAAAATTTAAAAATTGAAACAACAAGCTTTTACTGATCAAGATATTTTATAAATCAGTCACTGACCCGAGTCATAGATCATGTTGCTGTCGCCCCGTGTCCAGTAGTTGAGGGAAGTGGGATGCGCTTCAGTGTAGCACTCCAGCAACACTTCGTTGCCACGCAGCGCAGCGATCAACTGGTGTGGGATCCACAGCATCGGGGGGACTGTCATGGTAATAGTAATAGCGGTCTCAGTGTCTATCAAGCCGTTAGACCTGTCGTAGGTTCTTGAAATTGCAGAATATTCACAGCTTGTAGCGGTAACGAACACACAACTCACTGCTCCAGTTTAGCTGTGCTTAACCACTGGCCTCCTCGCCGATTTGACTAGAAGTGTCGCAAAGAGCTGAAATCAAACCCGCAACTCACTGCTACAGACTAAGCACTCTGAACTGTAAACACTGGGCCAGTGGGCCACTCTGCTTGTCACGACACTTCAGCTTGAGACGATTCTCACACAGGCGTTAACTTTGTTTGTGGATATGCAAGAAAATTGTTTTGCTGTCTTCATTGGTTTTCGATTTAGAGTAAGGAGCTATTACATGTACGAGATTTCGAGTACCTAAGGAAGAAGGGTACCTGAGGGATCGACTTGACGCCTCCCAATGAGCAAATGAGCGCGATGCTATACAAGCTTAATGATCTAAACCTCCGACAAGGTTTTTCAAGACAACATGAGCTTGAACCAATTCTGCGCTCATGCATGAAATAAAATTTATACGTAATTTCAGCACTTTCAAGTTGAAGTCATATCATCATATGATAATTGAGACAACGAAACCCTCAACTTTTGGGGTAAAGATCTTCCCTAAACCAGAAACTTGAAGCGATCTGTAATGAGAAATACCTGTTTTTTAGGGTGAGAAAAAGTCACGGAATTCTGCTCTACAACACCGGAAACATTGATTCTATTTATTTATCGCGAATAAGTGGTAAGCAATGTGAAGATAATATTTTTAGATAGTATCGAGTTTTCAATTAGCAAACTCATCAATAACCTTAAAAAATTTATTACTATATAACCTTAGATACTACTTGTAGACTCTCGAGCTGAAAAGATACAGAAACTGTTCAAACCTTAAATTCCACTGTTGGTCTCTTAATTGTCCCGAAGAAACATACTACACATTTTAACTTTTACTTCTACTTGTATACACTTTTTCCTAAAATCACTTATTCCGAAAAGACTCTTATTCCGAAAAGACACTTATTCCGAAAAGACACTTATTCCGAAAGACACTTATTCCGAAAGACACTTATTCCGAAAAGACACTTATACCGAAAAGACACTTATTCCGAAAAGACACTTATTCCAAAAAAGACACTTATTCCGAAAAGACACTTATTCCGAAAAGACACTTAATTATTCCGAAAAGACACTTACTCCGAAAAGGCACTTATTCCGAAAAGACACTTAATTATTCCGAAAAGACACTTATTTCGAAATGGAGTCAGTACTCACAGTCGACGCTGACAAGAATGCGCTTGCTGACAATGGGTGGGTGGCCGTTGCTGGCGATGCAGAGATACGCGCCCATGTCCATACGGCTGACTTTGTTCAGCGTCAGCACTTCCCCCTTGTGGTCGATCACTGCGCATATATGCACCGTATTTATAAAATTTATGAACACATGGCAATAAATATAATAATTATGGTGTGTGTACACAATTACTATGTTCACTGTGTTCGTGGACACGAGGTGTGTAGGTCCGTGTGAACACACATTATGCACATTCGTGAACATAAGGCAATGAACGGAATAAGTGCGCAAACATTTATTCCGTTCACTTTTATTAAACTTATTCCGTTATGCTTATTCCATTAACGCACATCAAATTTACGAACACGAGGCAATGACCGGCATAATTGTGTAATCACACACAGGCAGTTAATTAATAGAACTTATGCCATGTCTCCGCACTCATTTTATATCTTTGATTGTGCTTTTTAAGTAATAAATTAAGGCAGAGGATATATCGTCACGAAAACGATTTCATGGTCTCTTCGTTGGTGTTTTACGAGAACACTTCATTTCAGCTAAACGCATCAAAAAGTTTACAGAAGTTTCTTGAAGGCAGTATCTCGAATATCCATAGACTTGTGTTCAAATTTTTAAATCGTGCTCCACAGACTTAAAAAAAACATTTTATCAGTTTACTTCTTTGTAGTTATTTATAGGATAAACTATAAAATAGCCGCGGTTATAATCATTACTGAGCTGAAAGAGTATTAGTATCAACAAATACAAAAATTCATTATAATACAGAATGTACAAAATACTAAGTAAAACTTTGTAAACTTAGTGAAGCTAACAGTTATTTAAATTATGATTCTTCATTAATAATAGATAAATTAAAATATATCTGCTTTAAATAAGATGACACATGCTCCAAAAAATATTTTCTAGAAATAGTTTCATAAATACTCTTATGATCACAATTTCTGCCACGACGGTTATGTGACAAATAAAAATGATACCTAAATCACAACCTTTGGTCACTCGCGTATCAGTTATTTATTTGAATTAATTCCGATTATACGGTAGGTGCTTAGACTCGCTATTTATTTAGTAATAAAAATATTAAACAATTCAGTGTATCAATACTATTTAATTTCCCCGGAAGCTTGCTGTATAACATGCACAGCAAAACAAGCGTAACAACAAGAACATCTTCCCTAAGTCGATGTAAAGTTCCAGCAAGCCGCTGCGTCTTCTCGTCATTCAATCCGCACTCGATTACCGAGGTCTTTAAGAAAAAGCAGCGGCCAAAAAATCCAATCCCTAGTGTGGCAACACGACGAGACTTGCAGCCGTTCAAAGATTTAGGCTGGCAAGCAGTCGCTGCAGGAGCCGCAAGCTGAGAATTGAAGGCTTTGAAGGCGCTCCGCCTGGCAATTGAGTTTGCGTGGCTACGGGACGGCGCTTCAAAAGAACTTTTGCCGAGCTTAACTCGCGTCGATTAATGGCGCACTTGAGATAAGATTGCAAAACGAGATTTTCTGATCCTCTAGATGTGATACGGTACACGTTCAGGTATAAATAGGAGTAGGGTAAATGAATATACGTACGTGTCGTATAATGACTCTAGGAGCATAAAAAATATTTTAAAAAAGATACGTGCCGTTTAAATGACTCTAAGAACATAAAAAATATTTTAAATCATGAACTTGACTGGCTTATTTTCAAGTAACTTGAAGTATATTTTTGGGTGTTAGTATAGTATAGTATAGTAGTATAGTATAGTATCTTCGGCATTAAAGAATAGGCCTGGATAGGCCTGTCGCCGATTCTTGTACTTTTCTTGACTAGACTGGCCTTACGGACGACCTTCTGGGACCTTGTACAAACCATGAGTATACTTGTATACTTCAATGAGGTCCCCACGCAGGCGACGATAACGTCGCCTGCGTGGGCGTTATCGTCGTGTTGATGAATACATAGTTACTGTTGAGCATTTCAAGCACAGAAATGAGAAATCTCTGATAAAATTACAATGAACTCAGAAAAAGTAAATGCCCCAAATTGTTTTTCTATTACGACTTGTGACATTCTAACTAAGGCTTAAGGAGAAAAGTAATAATTTTATATAAACCCCTGATGTCAGCAAGCGAAATGAAATCGACCTCGGCAAGTCAACGACACAAGGAGAGAAGAAAGTGAATTAATTTACAGATAATTGGTTTTAAAACTAAATGTATTACTACATCAGCGAACTAATATACTGAAATTACGTAAGAAATCCTGCAGACGAGCATCTTGATGGATAAGTCATAATAGTTATGAATTAAAATACATATAATAGTTGAGGAAGAGAAAGGCGAGACACCGGCGTGATGCGGAGAATTTAATCTCGTCCGCGTTTGCGGAGCTCAGACAGATTGGCTAATTGCTTCTATTGGCGCTAATTGTGAATATTGGCCCTAGAGTTGGCAGGTGACCTCGCTGACGAGCGCCAGTCACAGCATGACGATTCAACTTCTGAGGATCGTCTACACGAACTCCTGACCGGCCTCTGGCACACTGGACCAAGCTACAATAATCTTAAGATCCCTTAATTTGACTCATGCACCGTAGACTTTACTGAATTATGCTATAATAGTATCAAGATCACTTAATTTGCTTCATGCACCATAGACTTTACAGACTTACGCTACAATAATCTTAAGATCCCTTAATTTGCCCCACGCACCATAGACTTTACTGAATTACGCTATAATAATATCAAGATCACTTAATCTGCTTCATGCACCAAAGACTCTACTGACTTTCGCTACAATAATCTTAAGATCCCTCAATCTACCCCACGCACCATAGACTTTATAGAATTACGCTACAATGGTCTTAAGATCACATAATTTGTTTCATGCAACATAGACCTTACTGACTTACGCTACAATAATCTTAAAAACCTTGATCTGCCCCAGTAACTTCCCTGAACTCCGCTTCAATAATTTCAAGATTAATGACCCCATGAACCCCAGACTTTATTGATCTACGCTTCATAAATTGAATGATTTCAGGCACTCAGGCAGTCATTGATTGTACGAACTAGCAGAAGCTACAGCCTCTGCGGATCTCGCATAGTTTAGGCGCCATGTTTGGCTAAGAGAGAAAAACTTTTTCGGAAAATTTTTCACGCAATGAAAATGAGATACAAGTTAAAAAAACGGTGTATGGCGATCAAGACATCTATAACGCTTGTATTTATCAATAATAAATTAAGTTTTAAAATGCTCTAAATAGATTACGATTAATGAACAAAATGATCGTTGTTCCTCTAATTTATTTCCAGAGTAGAATGAAGGATAAACTGTATCCTGGGACCTCAAGAAATGAGTGAAGTCTATTTCAATCTTAAAAATGAACAATTCTTATATGTTGATTTGATTTCAACAAAGAAATTTCCACTGTAAATCCAAAAATAACTGCCGCTCTAATCCAGGACTTTCTTTTAATCGGCTAGTGGATACAAAATCTTGCTTATCTGCATCTTAGAATACGTGATAAATTACTTCTGTGTTTTACTCGTCCAAAAAGATCCAAAAGCATTCGATCTTATTTCAATAACGCAACAACTGCTCGACTCCAGCAGACGTCAACTACCGAGAATATGGGCGGACATATCATGTTAAATATCCGTAAATATAAAAACTACACTGCATTTTTTGTCCAAACATCCCTACTGAATGGCTAGATTTCAGTCCAAGAAGAACTGTTGGACAACTTCAAAATTATTGTTACAAGGCATTGAAGAAATTTACTTGCAGAACGTACACAAATTTGCTGAGATATTAACAAGTATTCTCATGTATAACGAGCATTCGCAGAACTACAGAACATAGACGCTTACGTCCACCGGTCGCCTGAGCGCATCAAGTCCATGAAGCTTTAGGTAGGAAATTTCTGATAAGACCGTGTAGGCCTCCCAGACACAAGCTCTTATCGATAAGCGACCGCTGCAGTCCTATTTGAAAATCCTAAAGGCAAAGAGGGGCAGGAGCTTTAGGGTCGCGATCTGCGGCTGCATTTGTGCAGTGCAAGACAAAACCACCGCTAATTGCCGTTACCGCCTCAGCAATCCCGGCCGATCGCCAACGATTTGGCTTGACTTGCTCGTGGTGCGCGAAAAGGCGATTTCCCTGAATTGAGAGTAAGAAGGATTAGAAGGTTGATCGCTTATTTTTGTGCGAGATTTTTATGCATTCTTTTATATGAGCATCATGATGTATCATTGTTCCAAACCCGAGAAAATTAAATAATTTTGTTTTAACGCACAAGTTTCATTGGTCAAAGTTTCATGAACGAATTTTCTTCTTCAATCATGAAACAGCAAGACCTACAAGCGGGCAGCAATGAAGAAAGACGAGTTTCTAATATGATTGTATCTTTGACATTAAATTAAACCACATAAAATTTGAATCAGAAATTAAGATCATACAAAATTAAGGTCGTTTCTATATAGTCAAAAATGGTAATAACATAAATATTCTTTTATGCATAGCAGATAAATTCCAATTGTTCCTCAAAAGCACTATTCCAATCGATTATATCTTAGTTGCTGGCTCTATTTTGCACAACCGGGACAAAGAATGGTAAAAATTCCTGAAATGATTAGTAGCGATAAAGTACATAAAAATTTCAAGCACAGAAGACAAAAAAACTTTAATATTTCCAAACAATACCGGTTGCCAAATTGTTTTTTCAATACTAAGTTAGAACAAAATACGTTGAATTTGTCTTCCGAAGTTCGATGAACCTTCTTGAAAAGAGAAAATATTTTTTTTTAGTACAGACATTATTGAAACAAGAAAAGAGATAATTTGTGAAAAAGGTCTTTGTTAGACACAAAAGCGGACTGACGAGGCTGTAGCTCGGCGCATCAAAGCAGACTCTCGGTCGAGTATTGGTATGAGAACAGCCACGGCGAGCCCATCTGCGCCCCGCTACTCCAAATTGAGCGTTTTGTCTTGGTTTGCTCGCTTCAGCAGCGGTGGCAACAAGCGTTGCAAGCAGCACTGTTGTTGGTCCTGCTGCTTGCTGAGCATATAGTAGAGTCTGTTCAGTTCCAAGCAAAGTTTCTCATTGGAGTTTAAATTCCAGTCTCCAATCTTTCTCGACTGAGACGTTCTGAAATTTTGTCTCCAGAAATTTATTTGTTGAAAATTATTTGTGAGATCATCACCGTGTAATTCCTTAGATTCTTAATGCAATAAAATTCAATAACTTTCCGTATGAGTAAAATGGGCTTTGTTCGTTTAAATTCAAATTTCTGTAGGCGAATTACTATTACCTTCCCTTGGCTACAATAAACATAAAGGCAAGTTTCAACAATGCAATTCTTAAAATTTTCTTGCGGAACTCAACATTATGGCAAGCATTCAAACCAATGCAACCAACGGCAATCATTTGATGGTTTCTCACCAATTCCATACTCGTAGTAGATGTTGACGCGGGTATTGAATTTTAGTGCAGGTAGACCAGGACTCGTGAGTAGGATACGTTTGTTTTATATTTTTACAGTAGCGAGATGAAGAATTGCGTCGTTCACACTTGCATCTAATAAGAGTAGAAAGATGTATGCTGCATTGTCATATGTTCACACGGCAGCTTATAGCACCGTTTTCATGTGACTTGATAAACGAAATTTTACTCTGGAATAAAAAATATTTGGGCATTTCTCTGATGCACATCGAAGTTTTGAGTGTGTGTCAGCACGATCTAGCCTATGCCAGGAGAACAGAGTCTTCTCTGGTGCAGCCGTTCTGTCTAGTTTTCTCCTCAAGTTAACCAGTAACATTACTACGAAATAATAAGTAGGTCTCGACATGCTGTTTAGCAACAGATGAGGCACGTCTATATACCCCGTATATGAGTACAAAAGAAATAATTTCATTATGATACTTTCTAGAAGTGGTATATTTTAATGTTTTTCTAAAGCATGTATATTTTACTGATTATATCGCAAACCATCTATGTCAATTTGTAGTAAAATTATCGCAGTGTTATTCAAATTAAAATTAAATTTGTAATTAAAATTTTCGTATACATATGAAAATTCATCCACTCGGTTTGTGATCTGATCCAAGGCAATCGGTGTTAATCCTAATCACCGTGGTGCTACCAACCAGCCACAACCTCTGCAGCAATTTTTTTCGTTCTTCGTCAAAAACGGATTTATTGGATTTTTTAAATGACGAATGCTGCTCTAAATGGCATTACAGTAGTTTTTTTCATGCCGAAATCAATCTTCGAACGAAACCAAAAATTGAAATTAATTTCAATTAGAAATTAAAAAATTTCCCAAACCAACTGTAGATTTAAACAGACAGTTAGACTTCTTCACGTGAGCACAGTCTTATTTTACTAAACGGTCATATGAGCGGCGATTGATTGCGGTGCGGGCCGATGAAAATCTAAGTGGCAATGCAGCAGCCGACCACATCACCGTTTGTTTCTCAATCGAAGTGTTCATGCCACTTCATCTAACTAAGGAGCCTATCTGTATACAATAAATGATCCAGCGACGATATTTTGATCAGAGACCAAGTGCAGACCCCAGTTGAGTATCGCAACTGACAAGCCAGCGAGATGTTTCATTAGGGAAAATCTATTCGAAGCATGAAACCTATTATTGGATAACATATTCGTCTACGCATTTACTTGTAACTGTGACAAATCACTTTGCCCTTATTTAAGCTTAGTTCGGTTCATTCATATACAGACTTGCACATATTTTATCCAAAATTATACCAACAATTTTTTCTCATCTAAAAAATAAATGAGTGAAACAGAAACGGAGCTTTCCCTGGCTTGTTGCCTGTTTCCCACGAAATCGCCGTTGTTAGTGGGAGTAGTGGGAGCAAATTAAATTAAAGTGTTATTAATATAAAACAGTTATAGTTTAATAAATCTACCTCCTTGACCCACCTGATAAGGTCTTGTTGACGGTGATGGGGTTGCCATCCTCCCTCTTCCATGTGACGATGGGCTTGGGGCTGCCGCGCGCCTTGCAGCGAAGCTTCACGTCGTTGCCTTCCTGCGCGATGACGTCACCGGAGCTCTCCGAGTCCACGATGTCCGGTGGCACTGAACGCCACAGGGCGATACGATACACTGAAACTTCCTCCATACCTCATATGATTTCAGGATATTTTATTTTAAGAGAATTTATTGCTTCTTTGTGTTCGCGTTATGTTGAGCTCGGGGTGGACGGAACATTGAATCATAAAATCAGCTATCCTGGTACATGCGCAAGATTCAATGATTTTAATTTCCGATAGATTTGCTTTCTTTAATTTTGATTCCATATAGAAGTTAAAATCAAATGTATTTAAATTCTGAACACAACATTACAAGTTTAATGTATCAGATTTATTTTGTCTAATTACAATATTCTTCATTTATTAACAATGGTCACAGTTATGCCAATTAGAAAGTATTTTTTTAACCCAGTCTCAGAAAATATCAGGTATTACTAGAAGGAACTCTTCTTACCCACAACAGTGAGATAGCCCGCGACGGTCATGGCCGAGGCAGTGTTGATCTGGCACATATACTTGCCAGTGTCGGACTCTTTAACATCAGCGATGTGAAGGTACCACGTCTTCTGGTGCTTGTCGTGCGTCACGCTGATGCGGTCGTTGCGCGTGATCACGTGGTTGGCAACTGTCAGGATGGCCGAGTTCTCGTAGTGAATCCACGCAAGCTGTCGGCAGAAGGGCAACGTTTCAGTTATGGACATTTGTCTCTCTTTTATGTGCAGATGCATTGATCATTTTCTGAGCTGTTAGTGTCCATAAGCCTGGTTTTTAGAATTAATGTCCCATGATGAATTTCTACAATGATTAAATATGTCAATAGCAAAAAGTCTGGTATGATACATGTCGAGGAAGCTTAAACTGTTCTTCTGATAAGATCTCGATCGTTCAGCGATTAAACAGGAGTACGTATATAAGAGCTCATATATCATCAGCTATCAAGCTGCTGGTGGCTCACGGTGTCATTGCTTAAGCTCTGCAAGCCGGTTTTTGTTACTTTTAGACACGACTACTTTTTTTATAAGAGCTGACGAAATTCATTGACTCTGTGACTATATTTGAGCAACTCCGTTCACGGCAAATTGTATTTATTTATATTGGACGCTCTACACCACTCGGGCTCCGGAAGCAGCATTTCCTTCCCGTAGCATTCGGACCTCGGACGGTCCGTAGCCAACAAGCCTGTAAAAATCACGCTCGTATTGGTTGCTTTTTAAGCTCAGTTCGGTGATCCATTAGCAGAGGTCGACATGGCGAGTTGGGCTGACATTGCAGGCCATCGATCACTGGAGCGGATGGCCGGACTGTTGTGCAATCCTCTGGCCAGTCATTCCAATTAATGACTTACCTCATCAGGTCGTCATTGCCCAGTCCGGACAACTCAATTACCTCGAGCATTACGACGCACTCAGCTCATGTGTCATTACGATGCTCCGATTTTTGCTCGATTCATTGAAAATTGTACAATCTATGGAAGCTTATCACTACGATTGAATTTGTTCTGCTAATATTTGATCGTGTAAGCGAAGCAACGATATTACTTCATTTTTATGCTTCCAAATAAAACCTAATTTTTCATTAAGGATTTATTGAAAAACTTAATTCAACATTATATTAAAACAATTATAGTCAACCTTATTTCTAACACGACAGTGAGGTGAAGTAAAATTTTTATTTCCGTGACAGACGCGCCATGTGTTTACTGTTGAGCAAATTATTAATATGCCTTTTTCTAACAGGATTGTATGCATATTTTTAACATGATTCGAAGGACTTATCTGTATTAAACAGAAACAGTTAAGATTAACAGCTTTTGCAAACCCAAGATACCAAGCTATGAAAAAAAAATATTTACAGGGATTGCGAGTAAGGCATTCCATTTCTAAATGTTTTTCTCAGCTCACAGACAAAGACGAGGGTCGAGAGCAGAGCTCTGCTGGTATTATATTGCAATCATTTATCGTTGCAAGCGGCCGAGGCTACCGCGCATCTCTTGGCAGGGCTTCAGCCACCGCCCGACAAAGCCATCAAAGGCACTTTAGTGAGCAGCATCGCGCCGCCTGAATTATATCTCCTAGTCACTACTGATAAATCTCAGACCTTCCTATACACAAGCCCTGCTGCTCGTGAATGCTTACTGGCATGCAGCCCTTTTCAGCGAAAGTGTAATGGTTGCATGATAATTATTGTAAATTCAAGTTTTTTTGACGTATTTAGACTAGTTTTCGATAAATAAATAATAAAATGATGGAACTACAATATTGTAAATAGTACTATTATAATACCCAACACTATAATAAAATTATTTGATTCGCACCAATTTCTGAAAATTGGAGTCGATACTCTTCACGACATCTGAAGCACCTTCTGGCGTTATGACGTCAGGTAGTTTATTCATATAAAAGTAGGATACTTATATATTTAAATATAAATAGGGACAGTCATTTGGACAAAACCGTCTCCTCGCAAAAGGTTCTTTTTCACATCTCTGCCTAAATTTCTTTACCGTCAAATCCGTTCCTTGACCTTAGCTGCTGTTCCCTGCTGGCTGGGATCCCTCCTGCCCCTCATCAGAATTTCCAATTTTCTCTCATGTGCCACAATTTCCGCTCTATTGTGCGCCCATTTTGAAGATCTAGCATGATTTTTTTCTAAAATCTGCTCAGTAATTCAACTGACCGCGTGAGGCGAACGCATTTCCAATGCATCCCGCACCTGCCGAAATACGTGAACACGCCCTGAAAACTGTGTTAAGGAATAGTATCAATTTAAACAAATCAGTAATTATCATTTCTGTCGAAATAGTTATTCCATTTTAATGTAGAACCTTCCACAGTTTAGATTTTGCCTAAAACCGAAATTTATTTCATTCATGTTTTAGATGCTAGCTAACGAGGACCTTGAGTGAACACAACGCTATTGTACAGTTATGTTTTAGTAAATATACGTGTGGATAATCTATGTGACTCAATGAACAGAACCTCTGCCTAACAGTGCTCACGTAGTGACAGCGTCGTAGTTCTCCAACAATTGATGTATTGTTTCGTAAACCTCGCTACTGATATAAATAATTATCATCGAAATCTTGCAGCAATCTTATTTCTTCAATACAAATGAAATTTATAAAAATTTTGTAGCGTATTTGAATTCGATTGATTACCTAAATGAATATTCACCAGAAAATTGAAAGATGTTTCATTTGTTCCGTCGTGTGATGCCTTATCAAGAAGAGGAAGCACATGCAGTGATGGTGGTAAAAAGGCCTGAGGACGTGCGACGTGTGCTGTTTTTAGGTCGTCAATATTTCTTGTGGGGCGATATTTCTATCAGAGGGCAGGAAGCAGCGTGACGGCTAACAGATCGCATGATAATGGAGATGAAGCGACCCAAGGCAAATCACGCTTGAGGCACGAAAAACGCGCTCAAATTTGGAAAAGGTTTCTTGGCGGAGATACATGCCTCTCCATGCCACCATATCGATCGAAAACATGGATGAAAAAAAAGCGAAGGCGCAGGGGTCAGAATTTATTTTAGCAAAGAAGCCTGAGTTACTTGTTCTGATGACTGTTCGGGAAGAGAAGCTAAAATTTTATCGCATGAGCTGAAAATTTCACTATTAATTTAATTCGTGAAGGCCCCACAATGAATACGAAGTTTATTGAAATGACAATGAATTTAAAATGTCCTTTATCGACGATTATGATGAATGAATATGTTACGTCGTGCTTTTGATTGATTGGGCGATTTCGTGACAATTGGCGTTCCTTAATTAATTGAAGCAAAGAATCGAAGGAAGAGAATTAGTGAGATGGCTTACATCACATAATTATTCATCATTCAGCCTATTATATCATCCATGTAAGAACATGGGGAAGGTTACTTATGCCAAAAATACACTTGATGAATCAGCTTACGCAGGAACCGGAATTGTTATAGCTGAGTGATATTAGATTCACGTGACACAATGTAGAGCAAAGGAGCAAAGGACCAGTGTGATTGCGTTTAGGAGCGGTCATCACAACGTCGGCATGCGGATCGATCTTGAATGAAGCACGCGTTGAATCGAAAAAGTCTTCAACATCTCCTGTCCACCTTAATTTTTGTGTCCCCTTTCACTCGAAACAAATACCAAACACACTTCATTATTCGTGCAACCCTCTATTTTTAATGTTTTCTTCAATAACTCGACAATTAACGAATGTATGAGCCTATGATCTAATGGAACCAAGCAGTATGTAACAGAGAAAATAATACTATTTTTGGAACAAAACGCAATTTCAAAACATTTCAACATGCCACCCTAATTCCTCAACGCCTTCAGACAAAATTATTCGCACAGTTGAAAAATACTAACATAGTTGCAATAATAATAATCAATGGCATGTTCTTTCATCGTGATAACCTCCAACAGTCTCTTGCTATAGTTTCTGATGAAATTCGAAGTGGCATCCGCTAGATATTATCACATTCTTCAATTACAAATTGTTTCAATTTCTGGCGATTCTTGCATGGGAGCCAAATTATTGATTATAACTTTCGTTTTTTGCCATAAATTCTTAATCGGGTTCAAGTCGGGGCTATTTGCTAGCCATGGAAGCAAAGTGACCTTCGTTTTATTAGGCAGTAAAGCTTTCGACTTGTGCTCAGAACCATAATCTTGCTGAAATATCCATCGTCCTTCAAGAATCGAATTCCGACCGGATGTTTGCAGATTTTTCAAAATCTATATATAAACATCTGAGTCCGTTATTCCATCAATTGGAACTAACTTCTCGGTGCCACTTGAAGAGAAAAAACCAAAAACATCATTGATCCACCCCCAGGTAATCCCCGTATGTTGGGATTGTGTTCTTCGAAAGAAAGCCTACCCATTTTTTTTGTCAAATATTCTTCGTATTACCAAGTCAAATAGCTTACTTTTTGTTTCGTCACTCCATAATACTTGGTTTCAAAAGCCTTCCTCTCTGTCCACGTAAGAGCTTGCGAATTTCAAACGAGCAGCAACTGACGTCGTGTGTGAAATGCATGGGACTCGTCGAGGTGTGCGTCCATGCAGGCCATTCTTGTTGAGACAACGCAGTATGGTATGCTGACTCACACTTAATTGTTCCCTCACTGGTTAATCTTTTGGTAATGTCCTTCAACACCACTTTTGGATTCATATTCATCTCACGATAAAGTTTTAGAACTCATAGTTCCACTATAGTTTTGGCTTCCGCCTTCATTCAGGCAGCGTGTGTGCGGCACTAAACTCTACAAAAACGTCATTATCACCAACTATTGCGCAATCAAGTGTTCTTGCTCGCTAGATTTATGGTGATAGACTACATTCATAAATGGTTCAAGTGTTCATTTATAAAATATTCAAGTATTGGGGGGATGAACGAAAGAATTTGTGGTGGAGCGTGAAACAGAAATATATTTCTGGAAGTTTTTTTGATTTTTTTTTCAAATCTTAATTAAATAAATTGCAGTGCGCATTGCAGTGTCTTTTTTCATTCAGAAAATTTCATCTCATGGTCCTCGCCGTCACTCAAATTCAGAGCTCCTCTCACAAGTCAGCAGAATTGTCATCGTCTTTGCTGACATTTTTCAGATGTCACCTGGAGATCTATATCTATATCTCTGTTATAAACAGGAGTGATATCGCCAAAAATTGGCAGAAATTTTAGTAAAGAAAGAGGGTGCTTTTGCTAACATTATCTGAACTTTGGTAAGAATTGAGTTTTGTGTGTCTACCGCCAAGACTGCGGACAAAACGAAGATTTTAACTGGAATTTGGGTGGCAATTATTTGGCCAACAATGTCAGTCACATGGTGGTCATTTTTTTCAAGCTTACAGTGCATCAATATTTATCTATTCCTCTAAGGAAAATTTCTCCTATAATATTTTTCATTCTCATAATAAGTCTATGTATACCGTATTATAAATACCAACACGTCGTTTGAGAGTTGTGCAATGTGTTCTAATAGGTATGAGTAGTGAATTAAAATGGCAGATATTCACTTCTGCAACATTAATTCAGAAACAGATCATGCGCCCGTGAGATGTACCAAACTTTGCATCGTTAATTATTGCTTTCTTTTTTCACCATATATTCAGAAGAACTTCGAGAAGATAAATGCCGACATGATAATTGTTGGGGGGGGGGGGGTTGCGCTTAAGTTTATCCTGAATGTTCAATGGCTCGTTGGATGTTTCGATAGAATTTAACTACAAAGGACATGAATGCGCGATTTTTCGTTCATGTCTTATTAAAGTCTTTTCCTTGTGGAAGCTGAAAACATAAAATTATTATTGCATTTAAAGAAATGTATGACTGGCAATTACACTAGTTAATTTCAAACTCAGTCACGATATTAAAACAGTTAACATTAAAAAACATTAAAACAGGCACACGAATAATCAGAATTGAAACGTACGTACCTCATGCATCCTTCTCTTAACCCTTAACTCTAGACCAGACTAAAAGTAGAGGTGCTAACTAAAACTTACTACAGGTACTTTGTGCACGACACGCTTGCCCCAGACGAACGGGGTAAATAAAATTTGTATTTGAGAAGGAAGAATTCCACAATTGTATTGTCATATATGGACATGACTATCATCGATGAACTAGAATGTGTGCATCGAAAGTTGCTTGACAGTTTTAAAAAATACAGATTCAAAAAATATAACTCAGTACTCACTGCAGTGAGTGACAGAGAGCTCATTTTCTCGTCGACGAAAACACGAAGACACGGACGGATATACAGACGGACAGACAAACGGACGGACGGACGGACATGGCGAGCACAATAGTGCATTTTTTCATAAATGAGAAAGTGCGCTAAAAATGCCACCCTACTCTGGATGCAACTCTAACATGAAATTGAGGAGTGCAGTGAAGCGCTGCAAGACTCGTGATGTGGAGCACTGATTCCTATACTCGGTACTGGTTTTTGAGAGAAGTGCAAGCAAACTTGTATTAGGAATCACCTTCTGTACATGCAACATTTCGGTGTGTGTGGTTGTGTTGGGGTTTCAATATTATTTAAAATGCATGTTTTCTGTTCAGAGTTCAACAAGTTTCGATTCTTGTGAATAAAGTATAATTCTATTTTCTATTATTGTGGATTGGTTCTTGTATAATTTATCACGTTTATTGTGAAAATTTTAAAAACAAACTCAAGCCAACATGTGCTACTCGTTTCCACAGAGTGTTAATATAACTGTGATTACTTTGAACGATGGAAAATGCTTGCAAATCTACCTATATGCTTGCATTTAAATTTTATATATCAACTGCTTATTTCCGGTCCACTTCAATTATGCACATAATCGCACACTTTGCTGATTTATTGTTTCACGTTTCACAGAGGCTGCTTTGATTCGCAACTGTGATTAATCAGTTGAATTGGATTAGAGGACTGGACTTTATTCGCTTTGTTTCTGAACTTTCCTTCTCTGTGCATCATCATCATTGAATACTTCTTCTTTAGTATCATCAATAAACTCTTCTTCTTTATGAATCATTTCTGAACTATTATCAGGAATGGTGATGCTAGGTTTCTATAGCAGCAGAAAAACCACCAGAAATAACTCCTGATTATCATAAGGAAAAGAGATATTATACCGAATTGAGTTTTCAGTAGAAAATACGGCACTGAATCAGAGTTGTGAAAAAATATTTGAGTTATTTGGAAGCTGTTGAAATGTGGAGGGACTTGCAGTGCTGCTCAGACCAATTTATTTGGCTGAGTCAGCGACTCTACTGCCGTGCTCGAGTGACCTCCACTCGTGATGAGCGCAGTAAACAAATCCTGATTTACTTCGCTAAAATGTACCCAAGATAAACGCAGTGTTGGGCCGTTGCTGTTGCACTTCGCTGATTGGTACTGAGGAGAGCGCCACAAACGATCGTTGTACGTACCATACACTCAAAAAAATGAATGGGTTCCATTGTCCAAATGTGAAACACCTTCTGCACGTAGCACTTCAACGCTTCCATACTGGACCACACTGATAACGCTTGTATACTGGACCACACTGATAACGTTTCTATACTGGACCACACTGATAACGCTTCTATACTGGACCACACTGATAACGCTTCTATACTGGACCACACTGATAACGCTTCTGTACATGGACCACACTGATAACGCTTCTATACTGAACCACACTGATAACGCTTCTATACATGGACCACACTTCCATAGGACCTACTGGGCCACACGCTTTTATACTGGGCCCGAAACTACAAGCATATAGTGCGTCGCTATTTTGACAACGCTTTAGTCATTTTTAGAGTAGGCTGCAAGCTCGGCTCTACAATTACGTTTTCCATACAAATAAAACGAGAATGTAAGTTCAAAAACAAGTCTCACAAATGCTCTCTTCCTAATACTGAACCTTTATTGCAATGTCCTAATCAATTTGAAACAAAGGGATAAGAGATTAACTGTGTTCAATTTGTCCCTTAGCACTTTTTGACTCCATGCACAGATCCGGCAGAAATATCGATCTCATGCATGCACGTAACACCAGAGCTGTAATTTAGAAACTATAACGGCCCTATATATACACGTAGCGGCCGATTTCTTGTCTGTGATATTGGTGGGTTTAGCTTGAAAAGCTGTCAGTAATTGGTCGATTTAATCACAGACTTGTAACTATTTTTTTTATTTTTTAGCTCCCTTGCGTAAAACAGAAATAGAAAGAAATAGAATAGCTCGTTTAAAAAAAAAATTGTCCAAAAATTTTAAGATGTGAGAGTATCAACCTAGATGGTTTTATACATGCTCTTTGACCGCAAATATTCCTCAATGTCTAAATGTAAATGTGCTTTAGTGGCAATACGCTTATTGGCTAAGCGTGTTGTTTATAATTTCTTTGCAGAGGCCGATATTCCAGAATTTTTTGCGCATTTTCTCATTTATGGAAAAAATGCGCTATTGTGCTCGCCATGTCCGTCTGTCTGTCTGTCTGTCTGTCTGTCTGTCTATCTGTCTGTCTGTCTGTCTGTCCATCCGTCTGTGCGTCCGTCCGTGTCCTCAAGTTTTCGTCAACGAGAAAATGCGTTCTCTGTCACCCACTGCAGTGAGTACTGAGTTATATTTTTTATAAATAAATAAATCGTGAAAATTTGACTGACGTCAGCTAAAATAACGTAATTTGGCTGTTCTATGAGGATTTAATTCACAGATTTATAAAAGAGAGAAATGCAAGGTTGTAATTACTTTTATTTTCATGCATATAGTTGAGCAAGCAATTAATTCAATATATGAAGCGCTTACTCACCTTATGTGGTCCCAGGTAGTCAACCCGGCACGCGAATCTGACGGTCCGCCCCTCAGCCACGGTCTGGTTGCTGATGTCGCCCAGGAAAACAGGATCGCGAGGTTTCCCTCCTGCAAACACAATATCATTGATCAATTAAGTTTCATAAAATTACGAGGTGATTTTTCACAGGAAAATTTATTTACACTCATTGCAATATCCAAATCTAAGAGCGATCTAATGAAAACGGATTTTTTAGGCCAAAATCTGCTTTTCGACAATGTTGGCTTATCTCAATGACGACTTTGCCCATTTCAATATTCGTGCCTGTATTTTGGCGTATTTTACGACAGCCAAGGAAACCTTTCATGAAATATGTATTGGATGCCCAGTTTCTAATGATATAAACGTAAGTAATTTCATCAGTCTCAAAATTTTTTCTTAAACTGATATTTTTATTATGCGTCAATATGTTGAGTACCGCCAGTCAAATAAAATTTTTATATCGAAGCCCGAATTTTATCTGCATGCGAACGAATGAGTATCATGGATGAAATATCAAATTTTCCCTCTTTGACAAGGAATATGAAAGACACTGATATTTTAGGAAAAAAGTGCTATTTTACACTGTTAAAAAAAGGTTGAAAACGTGCAACTCTTGTAATTTTTGGCGCTATTAACCCGTAATCTGAACAAGAGGTTTATAAACCGTTATTTGTTAGCTTTCAGCGGGCAACTTCTGTTTCTGAAGGATAAAGTCATATACTTCTGAGTTATTTTTAAGCGACAGCTACAATAAACTATAAATAACAAGGTATACTGATTATTGGAGTACATTTTTAAATTATTTCGGTAGTCCAAGCTAGATGATGCATGACTTGGCTTCTTAAAAGGGTAGTGCATTTTCTCAATTTAGAGGGATCATTTGAAGGCAATGTTGGTTTGTGAAACAAAAACAATGGCTTAGTTTGTGTTTCGAGCGGATATGGAAGAATTTTCGCGGAAAAATCGCATCTCAGTACGTTTGAACCCCTCGCTGAACCATTTATTAACGCGTCAGCTGCTGTAGTTTGAATATCTACAATTCGGTAAGCCGTACCAGTTGTCCGACATCCATCTACATCTTAATTATCTTCTACTTAGTTGAGGCTGAAAAAATTAATGTTGCAAATTTTTGCTATTGTAATTTTTTCATGTTTGATTTTTTAGGTGCAAGCAACGTCCGGAAATGATGAATTGCGTAAGAATCGAGATATGAATCGATGAATTGCGTAAGAATCGATTAATGAATTTGTAATTGTGATTTTCCTTTCATTCAACATATTAATCGATTCATGAATCAAGGACAATAACAAAAGTAGTTATAAAGTTCACAAATGTCGAAACTACTTAAGAAAACCGCATAAATTAAAAGGTTATTCATGCACCAATCGCCTGCATTGTAATTTCAAGACCCGCATAATAAGTTAAAAAAGAGAGCGAGAAATAGTGCAAGGTGATGGCTCCGCGGGGTGTCAGGCTTCAGCATTCAGCGCGCTAAAGAGGGCTACGAATTAGGCCGATACTCTAATGGACAGCCGAATATTCAGGCGGCCGGAGAGAAAGAAGCGTGAGCTGACTAAATTATGCAGCGTTTATCCCCTCCCTCCGATCCAGCGCCCTCACCACTGTAGCATCTCGGCTGCGTACGCTTAGAGCTCTTTTTGTTTCGTCTTAACCGTTGCGGTATTCTCCGAAACTGCATGGTATTCTTTGCAAGTACACAGAAATCGCACAACTCACGTCAACGATATAAGTAAAACTATATTCTGTTCCAAAAATCAGGTTTACTTTGTAAAAGTGGTGAGTTAATATTGTAGAGTAAGACATTTCAGTCAGACCACTTCATTCTCACATGCTTGTCAGCCATACTGGTGTTTTCCTTCTCTAATATCGTCAAGCTAAGACTCATCTGCGTATTAGTAACTTCGTATAATTACCATTTCTGCACGATATATATCGTATTACTCCATGACAGGTCTCATGAAATAACACTAGATTGCGGAATGAGCCCAACATTCAATATTCCAGTACTATCAGTCACTATTACAGCTACGAAGGTAATATTGCGTGGTCCTTAACTTTCTCTTACTAATAAAAATATGAAGAAAATCTGTAATTTGTAAAGTACTATAACAAAGCTTAGGTTCTTTATGATCCTTAATCATCCAAAACCTTATCACTAAGAATAAACTTCATTAATATTGCGTGCCACATCTCACATAGACTGAGAGGTTCGCATGATGATTGAATATTTTTATGTTTGATGTTTTTAGATGAGCACCGAGTTGTTTTTTTCCTTGAGTACGATCTCAAACAACTGCATGCCAGGTGTTCAATGCTAGTTGCACGAACATAAAAGAGGAATAAAATAGTTCCGTTCTTATTTCCCGGATCGTCCCGGATCGTTATTGATCGTCATGCCTCTTCACCAGCACAAAGACGTCGATCACTAACAAACTCATAGTTCTTCGGAACTCACAATTGAATTTGCTTGCTGTGGATATCACTAACCTCACGAGTAAAATTTAAAATATATGTATATATATTTTAATTTACTCATAGACTTCAGATTGATTTTCCTTCAGATGAACTTTTGTTTCTTCTCAGCTTCCAGATCCAACTTAAGCATTTCACTATAAATCACCACGAGGCAGTGGTAGGTAAATATCAAGAAGCTATCATGAGATTATGTCCTGGCTTAGAATTCAGAAAGCCACCTCATCTAGCCATGCAGGACAAATTTAGCAATGTTACGTATTAGGAAAACCCTCGTTTTAACAAACATTATAGGAACAAATAGACAAGCGTATAACTTAACTTTTAATCTTCAAAAATTGAACTGTGCCAAAAAAAAAACACAAAACCCATAGAAAATTACTTGAATGTTCTGCCCTGCATGTTCAATAAGTTCGAATGTTATCAAGCAAGATCGAAGCTTGAGCCTTCTATACTCTGTCAACAGAAAATAGCGAATTTACTTTAGTACATTGAAGAACTGTTAATTGACTACGATAATATATGAAAAAGAAATATATGCGAGAATTGTACCAAATTATTCTTGGGAGTAGCGAAGTTGCCAACAAATAATGCAATGAGCGGCAGCGGGTGCATGCATGTGATCCTCAGCTACATCAGCCCTATATTATAAGGTTTCGAACGAAAAGTTCAGGTTGCACGCGTACTGTACGCGATGGATTACTTACAACTAAATTAGTCTATATAATGAGATGAGTCATTTACGTTTCAAGTTTCTCAAATGCCCTCAACTATATTAACAAGGTAAGAAGATATCGGAGTTCGTTGTGAACTACGGTATTATTTTCAATTTATTAAGGTTCTGTCCTCCATAACCGAACAGGTCAAACTTTCTGCTGGAATGCATGCATGTGATGCCCTATTGGATATTAGTTACCGACTAGTTAAATACTAAAGACTTCGATGGTTATGCATAGATAAAATTTCTTCGTTGCTGCTCATTAGCACTTAAAATTCCATTTAATTATTATTGTGATCTTCTCAGTGAATATTTGATGGGCCAATGCTTAATTGATTTCAAGGGATTGTGGTGCAGTGGTCAGGTTCTCAAGCAAAGCAAAGTCATGTGAAATCAAGCACTTGCTATATTCCGAACTAAATGTTTTCAAATCATTGTATATAAAGCTCATTGGCGTTCGAAGTTCACTTAATGCGCTGCAATGGTCATGAAATTCATGATAATACAGGTTTTTATTAACTATTAACATGTAAACATAAAGCTCAGTGTTGCTCGTGTATGTACTTGCACAGTGGAACCTCGATCTGTACTCATCACTCGCTTCGTCAATCAGGTACATACAAGCTCAGTGTTGTGCATGGATGTACATAGCAGAGTGGAACCTCTGTGCACATAACTCACTGTAATAATCAAGTACACATTAAGCTCAGTGCTTTACTTAGGGATATACAGTACAATGAATGGCGCCCGGTGCTCAGAGCAGCTCTGATCTTCACCCAGGCTGAGCACTAAACTCTCATCCCTGCTCTGAGTCTCTTCTTTATTGCCACGGCTGAGACGCAGCTCAACAAATGAATATCGACACGCACGCGCGATATTGCAGCCGCTGCTGAGACCGCTCAACGCTGCTCATTTGTGCCGCGAGATGGCAGGGTAAAATTAAAGCACATTATTTTTCATCGTTTCTACTTGTAGATAAAATGAGAAATCCTATTTATTTAAAAAGTTGGCATAGTTTCTAAATTGTGACATCGAAGTCGTGTTTCTCGACACTATTTCTAAAATGAAGTTTTCACGTAGAACGCACGCATATAAATCCTTTCCGAGTTTCATTAGTTGAACTTATTAATGGCTTTGTTGGCGGCAGCAGAGACGGTTGCCGCGTTCATTATCCCAGCAAAAATTATATATGCAAAGCTTGAAACCCATAATTCAGAGGCCGAGACATAATTTAAGAAATATTTAGTTTATTGTCTAGTAGGGTAATGAATATTTGAAGGCCTGAATATAATCGCACTAAATTGCTTATCTCTTTTGAGACGGCCTATAAGAAAACCTGGCTTGCCAGAGCTTTACTTTGATGTAAGTCTGCGGAAAATTAAACTAATATTTAACAACATATTTTATCCATTTTTAAATTAATGGAATAGCTCATGTTAGATACCCTACAAAATTGATGCCACTTAACCATGACGTGTTTCTTAAATATATATCCAGACCTATTACTCATATTCTGAAGACACAAATCATGTCGTTCACGGATATAGATGTATATATTACGTAACCAATAGAAAACTGCCCATTTAGCTGAAAAAATCAGACTTAAAACTATGACATCCGATGGGTTTATATAGTTGCGTCTAAACAGACTTTTTTATTTGGGAATGAAATTTCACGAGTCAAGTAATCACCAGAATTTATATGAATTGTAAATCAGTACAGATTGATCTTATGTGGCCAAGTAATGACTCAACACTCTCTTCATATTTTGATAAGATATTTGAAATTAAACAGTTGCTGGGAGATAAATGAAGATCTTCAATCTTCATTTTGAATTGGAAATTGTAGTTTTAATATATTATTGATCTCTTTCCT